TGGTTTTATCCTTTACATTTTAAACATGAAGTTTTTGAATGTTTTAAAACCTTCAAAGCACATGTCGAAACACAATTCTCCTCTTGTCTCAAAATTTCTCGCACTGACGATGGTGGCGAATATCTCAATTCTCGCTTCATTCAATTTCTTAATGAAAATGGTATTCATCATCAATTTACTTGCCCTCATACGCCGCAGCAAAATGGTCTTTCTGAACGAAAGCATCGTCATCTTTCAGATGTTGCCCGTACTATGCTTTATCATGCTAATGCATCTCATTCTCTTTGGGTAGAAGCTTTTTCCACTGCTGTATTTTTAATCAATAGGCTCCCCACTCCTGTTCTTCACCATCAATCACCTTTTGAAGTCTTGTTTAATCGACCTCCTGATTATACTATTTTTCGACCTTTCGGTTGCTTATGTTATCCTAATCTTCAAGCCTATAGAACTCATAAATTAAATTCCCCGTCAGCTCCTTGTGCCTTTCTTGGTTATAGTTCTCAACAAAAGGGTTACCGTTGTGTTCACCTTTCGACTCAGCGAGTCTATATCAGTCGCAGTGTTCGTTTTGTTGAAAATGTCTTTCCCTTCACATCATCCCTTTCAGCTCCTGATCCTTCAACTCAGTCTTCTTTGCGTCGTCGTCCACTTTTTCCTGCTCCTTCCTTACAAATAAGTCCGTGTTCATCCACACATACACCTACTCCTACTGTCACTCCATCTACCAATTCTGAACTTTCATCCTCTCATCCTATGCTCACTCGCCTTAAGGCTGGAATTCACAAACCTAATCCTAAATATGCACTAGCTGCTCTTCCTTCTCAACCTTTACCATCTGAACCCACCTCATATTCAGCCACATTAAAGAACCTCATTGGCGTGCTGCCATGGCCGATGAATTCAATGCTCTCATTTCTAATCAAACTTGGACTCTTGTTCCATATCGCCCTCACATGCATGTCATTGGAAGTAAGTGGGTGTATCGTGTCAAACAAAACTCTAATGGCTCTCTTGAGCGATGCAAAGCGAGACTTGTCGCAAAGGGTTATAACCAACAACGTGGTATTGACTTTGATGAAACTTTCAGTCCTGTCGTTAGGCCACCCACCATTCGCTTGGTCCTCTCTATTGCTATTTCTCGGGGTTGGTCCCTACGTCAGCTTGACGTTAAAAATGCTTTTCTACATTGTATTCTGAATGAGGAGGTATATATGTCTCAACCACAAGGTTTTGTTCACCCTAATTTTCCACAGCATGTATGTAAACTCAACAAAGCCATTTATGGTCTCAAACAAGCTCCGCGAGCTTGGTTTTCTCGGTTTAGTTCATTCTTGTTGAATTATGGCTTTCATAATAGTCGGGCAGATACATCCATGTTTATCTATCATCATTCTCATTCCTATCTTATTCTTCTTTTATATGTAGATGATATTATTCTCACAGGGTCCCATTCCTCTCTTCTAGACACATTTATTTATCATGTCCGTAATACATTCTCCATGAATGATCTTGGTCAATTAAATTACTTTCTTGGCATTCAAGTTATTCATACATCATCGGGTCTTTCTCTTACTCAATCAAAATACGCTCGTGATCTCTTATCTCGTGCTTCTTTACTCCATTGCAAACCTGTGAGCACTCCCTTTAGTGGTGCCAAACCTTTATCTACTGATGGTGACATTTTAGCTGATCCTACTGAATACCGTAGCCTAGTTGGAGCACTTGAATATCTCACTATTACCAGGCCTGACATCTCCTTTGCTGTCAATACGGTCTGTCAATTTATGCATGCTCCAAGATCTTCTCATCTTTCTTTGGTAAAGAGAATTTTACGGTACATTGCAGGCACCATAAATCATGGTTTGATGTTATCATCATCCTCGTCTGGTACTCTCACTGCTTACTCTGATGCTGACTGGGCCGGTTGCCCTGACACTAGAAGATCCACAACTGGCTATGCTATATTTTATGGCAATAATTTGATCTCTTGGAGTTCCAAGAAACAACAAATAGTGTCTCGATCGAGCACCGAAGCTGAATATCGGGCCCTTGCTCATACAGTTGCTGAATTGCTATGGATTCAGAATTTACTTAAGGATCTTCATGTTGTGTTGAAAGACCCGCCTTTACTTCTCTGTGATAACATCAGTGCTATATATCTTACTGTCAATCCTTTGTATCATTCTCGGACCAAACATCTAGAAATTGACCTACATTTTGTCCGAGAAAGGGTGGCTTCCGGTTTTCTTCATGTTCGATTCATTCCTACTCAACAACAGATTGCTGATGTGCTCACAAAAGGCTTGACTTCTCATCGATTCAAAACTTTGCGGAACAACAGATTTCTGATTGAGGGGGAATGTTAGATACAATATTTGAAATTGTAAAGTTAGTTTTTAGAGATAAGTGTTTTTTGAAATTCTTGTGCATTTATCTCTTTAAGAATTCTATCCTCATTGTACTTATCATGTAAAACTTCAATTCTATATATGCAAAGTACACCAGGCTAATCAAATCAATTAAGCCTGTTTGATTCTTTCAGAACATCTAGAGTAAGAAGCAAGAACTCTCAAAAGTAAATGAAATATGAGGGCATTAAACCTTTGCCACCATCTTGGACTAAAATAGTTCAGCAATAAAATTATTCCAAATCCAACATTAAATCCCAAGGCAGCAGTTATGTATTCCCAATCAATTTCTTCATTCTTGGATGCACTGGGAATCGTTGGAGATGATGATGATGATGCTTCATTGATGCAGCTTAAGTTCAAAGGCTTCCCACAAAGTCCTTTGTTTCCTAGAAACGATGACTCTCGAAATTTTTGAAAGTGACTGGGATTTTTCCAACCAATTGGTTAGATGAGAGGTTAAGGAATTTGAGGGACATAAGATTTGTAAAAATTATGGGAATCGACCCGGCTAATTGGTTCACTGAGTGATCCAAAGATCCAAATTGAGCCAATTTCCCGATTGATGTTGGAATCGGGCCTGTGAGTGAATTATGAGACAGATTGAGAAGGTAAAGTGCGCTAGGTAGCTTGAATAGCATATGGAATCGGTATATCTCCTCGAATGTTATTATATGAAAGAGAGAGGTAAAGACTATTCGCCATGTAATCACCAATTTCAGGGGGAATGGGTATGTTGAAATTGTTGTTTGAGTAGTCTGGATACAGGACACTCTTCCGTGGAGTAAAGGGGTTGATGTAAAGTCTGAGGACTTTAATCCTTTGGAGAAAAGTTCTGGGATTAATCCTCCAATATGATTATTCTGAGGTCTAGTACATGGAGTAAACTATTCATTATCAGAGACTCCTGCTCAACTTGACCATTGAAATGGTTATTGGAAAGTTGTAATTTCTGCAAAGAAGGAAAAGCAAGCAGAGATGCTGAAATTGAACCATTGAATTTGCAAGGTGACAAGTCTAATCGGGATAATGCTGTTAGGTTACCAATAGACTCCGGTATCGAACCTGAAAACCTTGTACAACTAAGAATGATCTCTTTTAAGGAGACAAGTAAATATTTTCTAGTGTTGGTATTTGGAAAACCTTTTCAGGAAATGCTCCAAGCAAATCATTGTGTTTGAGGCTTAAAGTAGTCAATTTAGAGAAGTTTGCAAAAAAGTTAGGAACTGAGGTTGAAAGTAGATTACCTTCAAGTTGATGAACATTGAATTCCATTATAGTTGCAAGCAACAATCCATTGTTTTATTAATTCCACTTTACAAGCTGACCTGAGTAATCATGTAGACCATCCCTGAATTGAAGCAGATACGATCTTTGATCACCGAGGCATTTACCATGGATAGAAGATATGATTTTGGCAAAAAAATGTTAAGAAAACCAAAGAGAAAAATACACTTCGACCCATGTTTAGAGACTGGTGGATTAGTTGATTGTATGACTAGTTTTCTGATGGATAGCCATATAAAGTTAATTTCCTACGGAAAAACGTACGTAAGTGGAAGTCAAGAACAAGGTACATCGATAATGACTTGGAAAAATTCTGAATTGTTGACTGACAAGGTTAACTAGCGGTGGTTGATCACTCAGCAGCATTCTTAATGGGAGACCGGCAAAAGTGGAAAGTTACTTTCCGATTAAAACTTAAGAGATGAAGACTCAAACATGAAACTTCTGACTACTAAAAGTAGTAAGATTTATGTTTAAATTGACTACGTACCACCATGTTCATGTATACGTTGGAATTGGATATTTAGTACTCCTTCTGTCCTGGAATAATTGTCCAATTTAGATTATTAGTTTTAATTCAAATTGTACTAAAAGTGAATTTTGAAAATTAAAATTTGACAATGTTTATGGGACAAAGGGAGTCATAATTAAGAAGCAAAGGATGCAACAATCAAAATAAGAAACGGTCAAATGGGCGACTAGACGTATTATGTTCTGTTTTTAATAATAACCAAAAAAAAAAAAAATCCTTGCTAATCAGAAATTTACTTTTGGTACTAATAAGAAGAGATATGTGTTGTCAAAATAATTGCTTTTTTTTTTTCATGGCAACCATTGATTAACTATGTACTTGAATTTCACTATTCATTTTTCAATAAGTAATTCCTAAGAACAGAGAATGATGGTTGACCTTTTCTTTCATAATTTCTATCTGAGATAATTAAAATCTATCATGAATAATGGTAAGAGATAAAAGGAATAGTTGTGCCATGTTAGCAAATGAAGGAGTTAATAGAAATGTGATATTCTCTTATTCTTTTTTCCCTTTTCTCTTTCTTTTATTAGTGTTCTCATATAATTAATTATGCACGGAAAGAAAAGCTATGATCAGGACGTAAATCATTGTATGAATAATTACATTCTAAAATTCATTCTAAAAAAATTAATCCATGGAATATTGGAATGTCTTAATTTTTATGAATACTATTGTGTTTAAGACGGCTTGTAGTTAAGTTTCCAAAACTGGCAGGAGTCAATCTGACGTTAAAACCAAATTAGGGGAGGCAAGCATAATTAAACCCGAGACAGCCCGCAATCCCAATTTTACACTACATCAAAACGACATCGTCAATCGTTGTTCCTAGCTCCACTGAAGAATTTGACTGAAACTCATTACCCTCATTCGGGACTTTCGCAGCAACATACGATTCACTGAAATCTAAAAAGCAGTCGGAAAAGAGAAAACTCAAATCGGCGAAATGGCCGGCAGATTGAGCCACGTGGCATCTCGCATCATGGGCGGTAATGGAGTCGTGGCCCGCTCCGTCGGGTCCTCTCTTCGGACCCGCGCCGGGATGGGCCTCCCCGTCGGCAAACACATCGTTCCTGACAAGCCGGTAAAACAATCCGTCCTTCTTGTTGCTTTCTTCATGAAATCCCAAAACCGTCCATTTCTATTAATTCACTGGGGATTTCTCTTTCTTTTTTTTTTTTTAAATAATTAATCCATCTAATTGTGGTTTTCTAGCTCCCGGTGAATGATGAGCTCGTATGGGATAACGGAACCCCATTTCCGGAACCCTGTATTGATCGGATTGCGGAGACTGTTGGAAAGGTGAAGAAAATAATGTTCAATTTTAAAATTTGTGGATTTTGTTTTTGAGGGTTCTTTTGTTCGGATATACGTTAAGATTGGATTTGATGTTTCAGTATGAAGCTCTGGCTTGGATGTGTGGAGGCCTAACTTTTTTTGCGTCCCTTGGATTTTTGGCACTTTGGAATGACAAAGCTTCAAAAATCCCTTATGTGAGTTTTAAGTGTATATGCGCCCCTTTAGTTCTTTCAGTTTGAAGCAGTTTGTTGTTCAATTAGATTTTAAATTTGATATAATTAGTGTTCATGTGTTATCTTGACCGCCTGAATAGATTGGAGCTTTCATAGTCAGAGAAAAGTTTTGAACTTGATGTTTGATCTAGAATGGGAAGTAGGGTGATGTGGTTCTTTATTTTACCTTATGAACCATGTTTAGTTGAAATTGTAGAAATGTTGATCTGATGCATGTCACGGGCCAAAATGTAGTGTTTATATGGAGAAAGGAGTGAACTGGGAGCTTCCGTGAGAATTTGTATGTGGAAACTAAGGACGATCCACTTACAATGGCATATCATATCTTGAACTTTCTCATGTCTTTTTAGGAAAGTTAACATCTAGACAATTAAATAATTTTGTATCTTCAGTTAGTCCCAGTGGGCGACGTTTCTGGAACCCCTGTCTTTTGCTGTAGGGTATCTTGGATACAATTAGCTATGTTTTCGTGGAAATCCCTTGGCTTTTTCAAGATATTGGACTTGCTCGTGCTCGAAGAGTATAAGGGTGTAGAATATCTGGATGGGTCTCACTGTTCTGTAGAATTAAGTTGGTTGAATTAAGTTGGTCAGGTTTAGGAAATGGCTTATTATTGTGAAAGTTCTGTCTATGAATCATTAATCGCTCTCTCCAGACCCTTGGGTTTGTTCGAGAAGAGGTTGTAAACCTTGGGAACTGATTGGAAAGAGTATCAAACATTGCATGTCCGTGTCATAATTAATTTTAAATTTTACTCTCCTTTCGTCTGCTTATTTTTTTTTCTTATTTATTTATTTATGGGTAGGGGTAAGAAAAATCATCTACCACAACTACTGAATATTTCACCTTTTCTTATCTTATAACCTTTAGGTAGTTGAGGTACTGTGCCATTTAGAAACTTAGTCAGATGGATGTCAAATCAGATTATGGTTGTCATTTTAAAAGAATGTGATATATGAGAATATGAATGCTTCTCTAGGGTGAAATAATGCACAAATTTAATTTTGTCACACTGGAATTTGACATAGTCCTTTGTCGAAATCCTTTGGTTTTGTGTACCGAACTGCAGACTGAACGATTCACGTCCAAAAAAGTAAATATTGGTAGCGATAACTGTGTTATAAATTGCTGGTATTTTTAACACCGAGTTTTTGTTGTATTGGATTTATATGTATGTCCCTCTTTCCAACAATCATTGGGGTTTTGATGTAATCTAGTTTTCCTTCCTTGCTCAAGTATTGGGTGAACTAATCATTTCTCATTCCCAGGATTTACTCTGTCCATCCTTACTCTCATTGCCATTTTTACATACCACATTTTGTCCTTGAAAATGTATGTGGATGACTTTTGATTGATCCTTGTGGTGATACATAGTAATGTTTATTTCGAACAATCATTGTAGTTCTTCAACTTTTTGGCACCTTGCCTTCATGATCTTTTTTGCCTTTGTTGTGTGCTATCCTCTTCAGTTCTTCCATTAGTTTGGAAGAACTACTGGAATCTTGGGTATGTTTGGAAGCCTGTTGTTCGGAATAAAATAGCTCTTCGGAGGTATTTCTTTTGTATAAAAGTGGTTTTCATTTCTTTTTCTTTTTTTTTTTTATTTGGGGGTGAGGCTTGCATAGTGGTGAGCGTTTTGGCACCGGGGATTGATTATGGATTATGGTTCTTCTCCTGCAGAGCCACCAGTGTCACGATGTCTATCTTTAATTGAACTTTGGTTATGTAACCTCCCCTCATTGATCTGTAGAGACGAGAGGTAAAGGGGGTTGACATCATGCAGATAAAGTACCTTCTTTCTTTGAAATTGATGATCTTAACTTACCCAGCTACATCATGACTTATAAGATGTGTGGTTAACTACTAACCTTCTGCACCTGGATGGATGACTGAACACGAAAAAGGTGTTCTTGGATACTTTCACTATAAAGTTTGTATCTTTGATTGTAGTAGTATTGCTGTTTAGAGGTTGCTGCATTTTAAAGTTTCTATATAGTTTCTGTTGTCTCAGTTTATAGTTGCTTAACTGGTAGCATGCAAATATCTTCGAACAAATCTAATAGGTTTTGTACATTTATGATCCTTTGATGAACAGACACCTAAGGTATACCCATATGACAACCTAAGAGTGGAGCTTGGTGAAGAAAGCTGAAGTGATGCACTAAAACGTCTGCAGATTCTGAACGCACTTCTTCTTTTTGTTACTTTCTTTTAGAAAAGCTCCAATCAACAATATGAAATAATGATGTATCTGAATTACTCTTTATCAATACTTGAATGTTGATCGACAGACAAATCGTTTCTGTTGGATTTTCTTTTATTGTCATGGGATTTTGCTTCTCCGGGGTGAGTTGTATGTACTCTTATCATTCACTTAAGAGTCGCAGTGAGGTTAAATACTCTATAATTTGTGAAATTTCGCACCAAACCAAATTTCAACCCCGAATGGGATTCAATCTGCGAATGTTATTGAGATGTATCGGTAGTTTTACCATTAGACTTGAGATCTAGCTATTTCCTTATTAAATTTATAGTTTTCAACGATCTTCATCTTAAAAATAAGTAGATTATAAGGCCAACATTCATCATGAATTTGCATGTCCATCTTGGGTGTGTAGTCCCGAGGAAAGTCAATTATTCCATATGGGGAACAAGACAAATTAGTACGATTTGGTTATATAATTTATTCAAATTGGAGATCAACAGAACCAATCAAATGCAAGAAACTCCTACGTTATTTGCATGGCTAATTCTAAAACTGTAATGGGTCTCAGACATTAAACTAGAATTTCATCTTCCCAAATGACCGGATTTCAATATTATGTATTCTCTCCGCTATTCTGAATGCCAGCACAACAGATCAACATAACAAAGGTTTCCAAAGGCCACAAGAATTCCAAAATCAAAAAATGACCATCCTTCAAATTAATTCAATTCTTTAGTTTCCAATTCATTCTTGGTCCATCGTGCTCGTGTCAAAACATTTTCATTGGAAAAGTACGACAATATGTGCACCAAGTCTGAAAAACGTATCTCCAACTTCATTTGCTTCCCCGGTTAAGTTTGGAAACTTGAAAATGGAGTGTAGTACTACTATGAACTGAAAATTCATATAGGGAGAAGGTAACATTTCGTCTAACCTCTGAAATTCTTCATAATAGAGTAACATGCATGATACCCAATCAACCTGATAACAATCACACAAGCTTTTGTGTTTTAATAAGTAAATCATCGAAAATAATAAATCATATAACTGCATGTTAATGGGGGGGAGTCACAAGCACTGTGGGCAAAAAAAAAAAAAAAAGAAGGTATTTCTGGATCGAAATTTATAAGCAGTATGAAGAAGACAAAAAAGATACAATTTCCTTAAAATATAAATTACAAAAATGAAAAGTAGAAAATTACATTGATACAACCAGTCAAAACTAATTCAGAAAATTCCTGACACAGCAATAACGGCTTGGGCAACACTTGAAATTTGCAGAGCCAAAGCTACATTCATACATATAGAATAACTTATGTTTGGTAGCTCTCTGATTTTCTCTTGCCTCCATGTATTTAAACTTCAAAAAGTATTGCCTGCCTTCATGCATGCAACAAATTCACTTTTGAGGAGCAAAAAAAAAAAGATGATGGAAGAGGAAAACGCAGAACAATAAATGTGGAGGGAAAAAATTCGGGAAACGCAAAACAAGAAGCAAGTTGCTTCAAGGAAAGGAAAACTTTAATTGAAGATAGTTTTAGTAGAAACACTGGAAATTCTTCGGGCAAGTCTTCTGGCATTGAGTAAGGATGGCATTAATGTTAACTGGAACTGTTAAGTTGATAATTCCGGGAATTTCAACCTTGACGGCGGTGCAAAGGCAAGCAGCAGCTTCAAGGTCAGCTAGGCCAGCAATAAGGGGGCAGCATTTTTCAGAAGACCCCCCAAGGTTGATCCCAATTATATTAAGTAAACCAACACATGCTTTAAGTTGTAGGCCAGTTGGGCAAGTTGCTTTAGGAGATTCAACTGCAGGAGGAGGAGGAGGGCTTTTTGGGGATTTAGGTTTAGGAGGTGACTTAGGGGATTTAGGTTTGGGAGGGGGTTTAGTTTTGGGAGGAGTTGGAGGACATTTAGGCTTCTTTGGCTTTGGCTTTGGACATTCATCACATGCGCTGACTAGGGTGAGGAAGATAAGGTTTAGGAGGAACAAAAAGGCTAAGAGTTTGATGCTCTTGGAACCCATTTTTAGCTTGGAATGAATCTTAGCCAAGGGAGTAGCTAGCTAGAATATTTGCTTTTTAGTGATCGAAGAGAGAAGGAGAAAGATGGTTTGTTTTTGGGATGGAGAATTTGGTTCTAAATTGAAGGTTTTTATAGTGATTGATTAGCCAGGCTCGTTAATATAAGCTGAGGTTCTTTTGTTCCTCTTCATGTGTCAGGTTGCAAATGAATATGATTTTGTGTTATAGTTAATGTCAAATTGTCAATATTTAATACATAAACTAGAGAGGCTCATAAGATTTTGGAAACTCTCTAAAGTCTTTGGCATGTGCATATAATACATCATGGCTGCTGGTTAATGTTAATTTGACTTTGCATTTTTGCAATATTGGATCCAGCTATATCTATAGTCTGTATGTAATCTCACAGAACGTTTAGTTACAAATCTTCTCACATGGATGATGAACATCAACAATTATTAGTCGTCCTTCATCAAATTAATTAAGGGCATGCGGAAAATATCACAATATTAAATTTTATGACACTGTTTATAAGGTTGTCGTAGGTTACTCCCCCGGCCAAATTTTACATTGCGGGTTATAGATAAAAACAGAAGCCGGTGGGGTTTTGTGTGTGTACTTGTGCATGCAGAGTGGCACGTTTCCTAGGTTACTTAACATCTTTCTAAGACAATTTTTCCGATCAGTTATGTTTCTTAGGCTATTTGACATTCTTAAAGACAATTTTTCCGATCAATTTCGTAGTTACCTTAAGTTTTCTTTCTCAATCAGTTGTTGACGAGGACGTAAAATTTACTAGGTGATCGGAAATTATTGCAGCTTGGCGCGTGTAAAGTTGCGTGAAGCCTTCCCACGCGCACTTAATGCGCAGGTTGTTGTTTTTTAATTATTTTTTTTGTTAAGTGAGTTTTAAAAATTTCTTTTTATTTTCAAATTATTTTATTTTTTAATCCGTAATGAATTAGACCAAGTGTCTTATATCATTTTGATAATTCTCGATTATATCTATCTAACAAGATCTATCATGAATATATTTTTCGAAACTTAAAAAATATATTATTCTGTTGTCTTGGTCTTCTAGAAAGACACTATGGTCTTATTTGTTGCTTCAAAGTGTTTTGTGCAAACAGTTTGGTCTTTCTATTTGTTGCTATGGGTCTTGATTTGTACGAATTTGTCTTGGTATGCTCGAAATACACTCTGGTCATGCTTGTTTGTATTACTGATCCTTAGTTTTTGGTTTTTGGTCTTAGGCCATTGGTCTTTGGTTTACAGTAAGATTTTTAGGGGATTTTTTTGGATTTTTTTTTTAGTGATTTTTTTAATGAGAATTTTTTTTTTTTTTTGGTTTAGTGGGGGGTTTTTTTTTTTATAATTGTGATATTGTGCATTTATCTAGATATAATTAACCTCTATTTTGATTATTTAACAATAGAAAACTTCATTTGTTTTAATTTTTTTGCAATTTATTTCTTTTCATTATAGTTCTAGTTTCTTACTTAATATAATTTTAAATTATAAAATGAGACAATATAAATATTTTTTTTTGCAATTTATTTCTTTTTATTTTAGTTCCAATTTCTTACGTAATATTATTTTGAATTATACAATAAGACCATATAAAACATACTACACGACCTTTAAAATTATATAACAAGACCATAAAATGAATAACAATACATGAATTTTAAACTTTTATATAGTAACACTATAAAACAAATTATTTTTGCAAGACCTATGAAATTATATAATAAAATCAAAAAATAAATTATATAGTGGGACTAACACCATAATACCAAGAAGTAAGACCAGATTGACCTTTGAAATCCATCGCTCCTTACACACGCACGCTCCTCACACATACCAACTCTATTATCTCTCCCGAAAAAGGGTTTCCAATTTATGTTCTAATGGCTGTGCAGGCGGCCGAAAAGCAAGCTAGCTGAATGCAAGTGAGCATTTGTCGTGAAGTATCTGCCGCTCCTTACATACGCTCGATCCTTACACACGAACGCTCCGCTATCTCTCTCGAAAAAAGGTTTTCAATTTATATTGGAATTGACGCGCATGCGGTCGAAAAGCACGCTAGTCGAAGGCTACGTGAGCATCGGCCACGAAAAATGTCCGCCGCTCCTTACACACGACCGCTCCTCACACATGCCCGCTCCAATATCTCCCTCGATAAAAGGTTTCCAATTTATGCGCAATCGAAAAGCATGCTAGCCGAAGGCTACGTGACTATCTGCCGTGAGGTATCCGCCGCAACTCACACACGGTCGCTCTTCACACACACCCACTTCGATATCTCCCCCGAAAAAAGGTTTCCAATTTATATTCAAAGGGCCGTGCAGGTGGCCGAAAAGCACGCAAGCCGAAGGCTACGTGACCATCTGTCGCGAGTTATCTGTCGCAACTCACACACGCTCGCTACTCACACACACCCGCTTCTCACACGCACCCACTCCGATATCTCCCCCGAAAAAAAGTTTCCAATTTATGTTCGAAGAACCGCGCAGGTGATCGAAAAGCACGCTAGCCGAAGGCTACGTGACCATCTGCCGCAAAATATCTGCCGCTTCTTACACACGCTCGCTCCTCACACACGCCCGCTCCTCACACACACCCGCTCCGATAACTCCCCCGAATAAATTTTTCTAGTTTATATTCGAAAGGCCACGTAGGTGACCAAAAAGCTCACTAGCCGAAGGCTAGGTGAGCATCTACCGCGAAATATCTGCCGCTCCTTACACATCCTTGGTAATCACACATGCCTGCTCCTCACACATGCCCGTTCTGATATCCCTGTCGAAAAAAGGTTCCCAACTTATATACAAAGGGCCGCGCAGGCGATCAAAAAGCACGCTAGCCGAAGGCTACGTGCGCATCCGTCGCAACTCACACACCACCGTTCTTCACACACGCCCGCTCATTACACACTTGCGTTCTGATATGTCCCCCGAAAAAGGTTTTGCAATTTATATACGAAAGGCCGCGCAGGCGGCCGAAAAGCATGCTAGCTGAAGGCTCCGTGAGTATCTGCCGCGGAGTATTCGCTACTGCTCACACACAACTGCTCTGATATCTCCCCCGAAAAAAGGTTTCTAATTTATATACGAAGGGTCACGCCGGCGGCCGAAAAGCACGCTAGCCAAAGGCTACGTGAGCATCTGTCTCGAAGTATCTGCCACTCCTGACACACGTACGCTTCGATATCTCCCCCGAAAAAAGGTTTTCAATTTATATATGAAGGACCGCGTAGACGGCCGAAAAGTACGCTAGCCGAAGACTATGTGAGCATCTACCGCGAAGTATCCGCCGCTCCTCACACTCGCTCGCTTTTCAACAAAAAAAATAAAAAAAAAATTGTGTTTAGGGTTTAAGGGGGTTTAAGCATTTCCGTGTTGGTTAGGGCCTAGTTTGTCCCGTAACACGATTAACATTATAAATTTTTTTAAACCAATTAGGCTAGGGTCTCGTTTAAAATTTCAGCAAAAAAAAAAATAAAATATTGTGTTTAGCGTTTAGGGAGATTTAAGTATTTTCGTGTTGGTTAGGGCCTAGTTTGTCCTGTAACACGATTAACGTTATAAATTTTTTTAAACGAATTAGGCTACCATAGCTTAATTTGTTTAAAAAAAATTCAACAAAAAAAAATCAAATTATTGTGTTTAGGGTTTAGGAGGATTTAAGCATTTTCGTGTTGGTTAGGGCCTAGTTTGTCCTGTAACACGATTAAAGTTGTAAATTTTTTAAACCAATTAGGCTAGGGTATTGTTTTTTTAAACCATTTGGTCTTTGATATTTTAATCTTTGATCTTTGGTCTTCGGTTCTTGGTCTTGAGCCTTTGGTCTTTGGTTTTTGGTTTTTGGTTTTTCAATTTTTTGTCTTTGGTCTTCCATCTTTGGTCTTTGCTCTCTAGGCATTGGCCTTTGTTCTTCGATCATTGGTCTTCACACATTGTCGCTCTTCACTATGATCTCTAAGTCTTTGGTATTTGGTCATTGATTTTTGGTCTTTGACCTTTGGTCTTTGGTTCTGGGTCTAAGCTACTCTCACACCATTTTCAAGAAGACCAAGGGAAATACATAAAAGTTAAGACCTATAGCAACAAATAAAAAGACCAAACTGTTTGCACAAAACACTTAGGAGTAACAAATAAGATCAGAGTGCCTTTTAGGAAGCCCAAGGTTATTTAATAAAATTTTTTATGTTTCAAAAAACATATCCATGAGGGATCTTGTTTGATAGATCTCATCGAATACTATCAAAATGATATAAGACACTTGGTCTAATTCTTTACGGATCATGAAATAAAATCATTTGAAAATTAAAGAAAATTTTAAATCCCATTTCCTTAAATTAAGGAGGAGTGGTGTGTGTGTTTAACTTTTTTTAAAAAAAATCAGATTTTGGGCTAAAAAAAGAGAAAGGGACGCGTTATGCTACATGCACTTAATGCTTATAGTATAATAACTCCTAGGTGATGAAGGCACGTATTCTTAGGTGAAACTTTTTTTTTTGTTTCGTAGATTATTCAAATGCAAAATATATATCTAGAATATTTGTGCAAATTTTATTCTTCTATGCTTTTTTTTTTCCAATTTTATGGAGTACTAATGTCGATCGAGAGATTGTACTGTGAAATTATGATACTTTGTATCGTACTTGTTTATAAACAACTTGCACTATTTTTTTTATATTTTCATTAATGTCGATCATGTAATATTTGTTCCTTGCTAGTTATCGTAACTAATTATTAAGAATAATTGCGAAAGTAATTAGAAGTATATATTTTATTAAAAATATGCATGCAATGAAATTGATATGAAGAAGATGTTTTCATTATATCGTTTGTGTCACAGAGTTAGCCAATATATAGACTAATTACAACATGTGGATAAATAAGGAAGTGATTTATCTTATCACAATACAACTATATACAAGGAAACATACATCAAAGATATTAATGTCAATACTCCCGCTCAAGTTGGAGCATGAAGATTGATGATGCCCAACTTGGATAGAAACGAATAAAAATGATCGCAACCGAACGCTTTGCTGAAGAAATCTGCATGGTGGGAAG